ACTTTAGTTTGATAGTGGCTGTGAGGTATCAGGTCACATGACCTCATAAACTTTGAGAAGTGTACAGACTGTGTGAACTGATGAGGACAGAGACATTTTACTTACATTTACTCTTGCCAATAAGAATAACCAGTGGTTAAAAAATGAACTGAAAATGGATGTATTTGCATGGTCTGTTATTTTTAAGTGCTCCTTCCTTAAATGAATAAACACAAACTATGGGTGCACTCAGTGCTCTGTTGTATGTAGGCCTACTTGGGGACATATCACACAAACACATCATAACTGGCTCACCTGCATATTCGCCCAAGTTGATCTCCTCCTCAAAGATGTCACTGAAACCCTCTCCTGAGTTCAACAAGTCTAGACGACCATCAATGAACTGCAGGGAGAACAATAACGTGTAAGGGTGTAAAACAAAAGGTAAAATAAAAGTCTCTGTGTGTGTGTCTGTCTTTATGATGACTGATTTAAGGTTTAACTCAGTTTTATGTAGAGAGTATTTCTGTACTGAAAGGAGATTTTGGCTGGAACTGAATACATCTAAGGGCTGTTAGAAGGCTAAGACTTTGTTTTAGGGTTTAGGTTAGGGTTACTGCAAGATTTGGGATTGGGCAAGTTGTGCACATCTTCAAAGATAAAAGATGCAAGATAATAACTGCAAGATCCAATTGAGCACATGTTCAAGTCAGCAGCAGTTTTAGATTACCGGAAAAATAGAGGAAAGTTTTGAACAGGAACTAGTAGATACTTAGGTGCTATCACTGTTGTTTCCTCTTCCAAGATAAGCACTATTGTCATGTACTGTAAGGTCACTACTCTGTTTACATAGTCCGTAATCTTCACAAGGAACATTTGAAACCAGAGAACCTGGTACAAAATACACGCTAAGTAAGCCAACAAGTATCTGAACATTAATGCTGGTATTGCACCCATTGTCTATGCATACATATTGGTATCAAATAAATTTCACTAGTGACCTTAGAGAATGGGGTATGTATTAGTTCAATGAAGGAACTCATGAATATAAAAGATGATCAGCTGTGTGTATACCTGTTTGAAGAGCTGCAGCTGAATAGCATTCTGAAGGAACTGTCTCATGGCACTGGTACGATGATTCACAAATGTTTCTTCATCGAAAGTTATTGGCTCTCCCTAAAAATACAAAAAGTCACAACTCTGGAGAAGAGGACAATGAACAAAAATATCATGGATTAACCCAAGCACCCTCTCTACCACATTCTGGACAGACACTGGAGCACCTTCTCCAAGAGACTCTTACAGTTTTGCTATCACAAAGACAGTTACAGGAAATCATTCTTGCCACAAGCCATTTGATTCACTTTTCCTCTGAAATCTATGTTCAACTTTAATTCTTTCTCCAGCACTTTGACATCATCACTCACAATATTTCATCACAGATAATGAAACAAATTAGGATGAAAGAAACAGCACTAGGATGGTTTAAAGGTCCAGTGTGTAGGATTTAGGTGAAAGGGATCTATTGGCAGAAATTTAATGTAGAATAATCCTCATGATGTTTTCTCTAGTTCATTTCATCTAAATTGTATGAATTGTAATTTTCTTGACCCCAGAAAAGGCCCTTTATATTTAAATACTTTATATTTACATCGAGGGGGGTCCTCTCTATGGAGGCTGCCATTTTTTACAGTAAACACCTTTCGCGTTTTTATGACAAATGAAGGCTGCCACAGGTTCTTTTTTATGTTTGGAAGGAGAGGGTGAGGTGAGGGGTGTTCAGCTGCAATATGAAATTTCCACACTAGATATCAAAAAATTCTACACACTGTACCTTTAAGAAGCATACATCACACACCAATAATCAGAGCTGGAGGTTACTTTCGATTACATTACCTTGGGCTTTACATTGGAGTTTTTCATTTTTGACCCGGACACATTGCTCCTGTGTTAGCTTTTCTACAACGCTCAGTCCAGAATATATTTCAAAACATTTCTCCTTATATAGAAAGCTCCATCGTATATTCAAGAACTCCGAGAATAGAATATTTGGAAGCTACCTGGACCCTCTCCTGTGGATTCAAATCCCAGTTTGGATTTAGAAAGCCTCTCTTCTTAAACGGCGTGATTTAAATGTTTCCTCTTTGATAAAACTTTTAGGGTTAGTGGTGGCTCTGGTGAGCTTTGAACTATCCCTTTGTTTTGCTGCTACAGATATAAACTGTTCTCTGATGATCAACTCAGAATAATCAACTTTTATTATTATTGATATCATTAGCCTATAATCAGCATTGTTACTGTCCCTGTAATAATGAGATAATGTATATTATGATTTTACATTATACAAATGAAGCTGATTTGAATTAGGCATGTCAATGTGGCATGAAGTGTCCCGTTATACCCAAACCTGAATGAAAGAACCAATGTCATCATAACTATGAACATGCATCACTCATGTTACTTGTTTACACCATGTACTGACCAACTCAATGTGCAGAGCGTTTCTGTAGCTGCCAAACAGAGCTGCCTGACTCTTGAGGAAAGCTAGAGCGACTCCATCCCCTGTTGTTGTTGAAACCTTCTTCAAACGACTTTTTAAAGACACAATCTGTGGGACAATAACTCACAGACATTAGAATACAGTATTATCTGAGAAAGTTTAAATCCACATTGAAAATTGTTTCTTATTTTTGAAATAAGTTGAGCACTTTGCAGAAGTTCCTCACCACATCATTGGGCAGGCTTTCCAGGTCATTATAGGGAGTTTCCAATGTGTTTGTGTCTACATTTAGGACCACCACATCATCCAGAGCCAACCCTCGAACTCTCTATTAGAAGGCAGGACATATTTCAGTATTGACAGGTTCAACAGAAAATAAGTCATTTTCGTTGTAATACAGATGGATAGATGCAGTTACCTCCATCATGCTGGAATGCACTCCAATGAGGTAGGGCATTGGGGCACTAAAAAATAGCCAGAGACATTGTTACAACATGAATGACAAATATAACAAATGGAGTTCTACAAAGTGTGTCATGATTTGCCTTGGTTGAGATTAAATCAAGGATTGCTTTTTGTTCATATTTAATGCTCCCTCAAATCTCCCCGATCTGTCTGATAACCTCTCATGCCTAAACTGAAAGCAGGAAATCCATAATGTAAAATTGTTTTGCTTTATTGTTTGTTGGCAATGGACCAAATAAGTATTCTTGAGTTATAGACAAACGTGTTTTTATGAGTTTATATTGACTTAAAAGAACAAATCCTTATCTTCATCAGTTTATCCTTGAGTCAAGGTGAACATTTGTTCCAAATCTGAATAAATACCTCAAGGATTAACT